GTGTATGCCGTGCACCCCTCAATAGTTCTACATGTGTATGCCACGTCCATCGCCTAATACTTGCCTGCATATCATGTACAGATAGTTAAGTTCATTATGGCAACTCAAATTTAAACAATAAGAAAACTCAATTAGGCAAGGCATTTCTTGATTTAATTTTCATGCACCTGCTGGTGGTATTGGAAAGGCACAATTAGGATCAAGTAAAATATCTCGTAAGATTTTAAAATCATGGGCGCTACCCTCCCACCCTACCCTGACATTAGTGAATCTCGTATTATGGTCACACACGTCTAGAATGTTTCGTGATAAGCCGCCATGCCTGTTTCGATAACGATTCTTATTTTCGTCTATACACCAAACTGAAACGTATGTTACATCAATAGTTCCAACGCAATCCTAATCACATGGCCCAGTGTTGTTACATATTTAACAGGTTTTTATAATGACTAACTAAACATTAAATCCTTAACCTTAAATCATGGCCAGAATAGCGGATTGTTCTGTATTTTTGGATGAATTGTGTGATAATCTATTGATCTAACCAAGTCGCGTCCTAATCGAACGAGAGATTGAAGGCAGTGTCGTAGATGGCAGTTCACTGTCTTAGAAGAATGTTGGAATCTCTCGGCTAGCACCTTATGTCGCTCATTATGACTCAAGCACAGAAGGAAAATGGTGACAGACTTATGAATTCCCACCTGTTGTGTAGGGTGTGGCTTCCAATAGCCCGCTCAAGCAATAAGTCACATAATTGCAGGAAAATGGGAGCTTCCATGCAAAGGTTGTCGAATATTCTGTCTCGATGGCCGTTTATTAGCTCTAGAACCCATTGAGCACCCGACTGTGCACCATTTCAGATTCGTCGCTACTGCAAAGGGTTTAGGTACGGGTGGAATAAGGCCAATCCAAGAAGAACAAAACATAGTGAAGGTCAAAAGGAGCTCCTCCTCGTCCGATTCATCAGAAGTTTCCCCACCATGCACATAATGATCATTTTCCATCAAGTGTTATTGGTGCAACTTCATCAAAGGTGAATTTGCAAGGTTTATGGCAGCCGTAATGATCAAAATCAAGATCAATAGGCTCCTAATTAATCATAAATGACTTAAAAAATGCTATACACCTGCAATAGTTCATAATTGAAATTATATGTTGTTACAAAGGCAAGTCATTAATTGCCTTTTCAAGACACAATTATGGACAAGCCTGTCTTAACAAAATAGTATCATATAAGTGAAATGGAGTCAGAATGATGCTTTAATGTATTGGCCGGCAATATCCTAAAATACTAGAGCAACTGCTGATTTGGCCACAAACATTATGAATAAAACCTGACAACTCATTGTTAACTTGTCTGAATTATAATAATTAAAGAATATTCAACAAAGTCATGGCCATAAAGCATCCTGAATTTGAATAAACAAATGACAAGCATAGTAAAAAAAACATTCAAAGTTCCAGTAGCAAATGCTACAACTAACGGTCTCAAGCATAAACAAATAAAGGCAACGACTCAAGCTTTAAAAAAGTGCTCCAAATGCACAAACGACTATAACGGGGTTGGGGGAAGGGGCTCCTGAGTGCCATGGTCAGGCGGGAGATAGCCTTTTAACTTCATAAAGGTGATGCGGTCGGCGTCTGATCCAACTAAATTCCAAATAGCCAACTCTTGAGGGTCCTTTAATATTTTAGCAGCGGCCATTTTGGTTATGTAGGCCACGTTTTTTTTCTAATTCTTGAAGTTGTTCCATGGCAACATTGTAGTCCGATTTCTTCGATCCATCTCGGCCAGAACGATGCTTGGTCGGAGAGCTGATTGACACGCTCATGCTACTGCTTTTCTTTCGACTAACCAGCGAACTCAATGTTGTCAAGAGTCCTGAGGTATCTATCAGTCACTGAACCAGAGGCGGTGGACATAGGACTACCGCTTAAGCAATCACCCGACTTCCGCTTTCCTTTACCCTTCTTCCCTTTCTGTTCTTTCGCCCCTATTACCTCAACATCAGCATTCTCGTCTGCATAGTCCGACCTTCCCTTTCCCCGTGCACATCGTGCAGCAGTCTCCATGTCTTGCTCCTCGGCTGAAGTACGGCGATCGTTCTCGAAGTTAGAGTTGAAGTCTCCTGCTGCGCCTTGATTGACAAATATCTCCTCAAGTAAATAATAGACTGAGCAGTCATTTTGAAATTTTACAAATTTTGGGTTCACCTAATACAAAAATGACAGCCAAAAGGGAGTTAACGAAACCAACACATATAAGGAGTAAAAACACAGCCATGGCAGATATAAAAACTCAATTATTGAATAGTTATATCTGCTCCATCTCGGCCCACTTGTTATTATCCATAAGGAAGGTAAACTTCTGGCTATCCCAATCCAATCCCGTTCCCCGCCTCTTGAAGGCAATGTACAGTTTGGTTAGCTTTTGCAATGCATAGTATTTGGCTCTTATACTATCAAAAGTGAAGAAGGTACCGTATTGGCAGTTCAACTGCCGTTGTATTTCAGGAACCACAAAGCTAGAAATGTTATTGTCCTTAATTTCACTAGCTCTATGCATGTTCAAAAAGTGGTGGGCAAAAGCAATTTCGTGCTGCTTAGAGAAATGCAAACGCTTCGAACCTCCACGCCTTTGTTTTCTCATGTTTAATTAACCCATAAATAAATCCAGAAACAAACAAAGAAATAAAGTGACATGCATGATTATTCAGGATACAAAGAGGACATAATAATAATCAAACTGAAGGAGGAGCAAGAATTACCTTGTAGTAGTTAAAAATGCACTGCCTTAAATCGTTTTCCCCCCAAGCTCAGTTGGATGAATGAGTACTCTGGATGCAATTCTGCTTCAATGCTGGGTTGACATAGGAAAAAAAAATTAAAGTCTATTCGCAAGGCAGTGAACAAAGGGGAAACAAACAAATATACCTTGGCAACACGGCGGGTAATAGGGGGCATGTAGCCTTAGACAACGGCAACCATACAAGTCAGACTACCCTATTTTTTAGCACTGAACAGCAGTATGAATTTAGATAGTAAACATCAAGTGTTTTCAAGGTTCTGAAAAAAAAATTTACAAGCCTTAATAGCATTAGGTAGTTCATTGCGGAAAAAACACAGTAGTAGCAAGAATAATATGGCAACATGAGTTCAGTTTTATATTAAACAAGGCAAGACACAGAGAGGCCAATGCACAATATGGAAAAGCACCATGAAAAAACTGCTCTACACTAATTTCCATTGAGGCCAGCAATATAACAGGTAAAAACTTATTCCACCACAGACTTTTTGTTCTCATATCAGATTTCACATAGGTGGCTTCACAGTAAGCACACTTGAATGTGGACGGTGTCCAGGAAGTTAGTGTGCTAAGGAGGGGAGGATATGCATTAACAACTTCCTCTGACCTTCCCAACTACATAAAAACTTCCACTTTAATATTTCCAAAAGCTTCACTCTAAGTCATGGCAGCAACATAGGCTACCCTTGCTACTTTTCTCAGATAGAATTTAAGCTTTCCTGAAGCTGCCAGCATGGTTTAGATGTGCACAAATAATTTCACCAACAGCATCCCCAAAGTAAAAAATGGTAGACAAGCATTTAACTATTTCAAGTTAGACTACAAATCATTTTCCAAAAACAAAAAATTAACATACTAAAGTAAGAACTACTCATCCAAAACCCATTTCACACATCTTTTCAACAGGTTTTCAAAACTGTCCAAACACTTATAACTAAAATAAAACAATGAAGCAAGCAACTCTTATATTTTTGGTGGCATTTGAAATCACTGGAATAACCAAAATCTCAAATTCACAATAGCATCCTACAAGCAACTACACTATCTTTTCAAGAACCGAGGTCGTGAATATATGGCTTCAATGCACAGCAACAGATTAATGTTTTCTATTAAACTCTATCTAATAATTAACATATCAAATAGTCCTACACTTCCATGAAATCTTTTCCTATATCTTCTTACCAAACAATTATTAAGTATAGTAATTATTTCAGCACTCAAAATAATTGTTTCCTTTTTACTTACATACCAAAAATAATGTGTCCCTCTTATTTCCATAGTATAAACAAACACTTAAATGGTTACAATTAGTTTTTTCCCTTTTATCCAACCAAATAAATTCAGGAAAATATGTTCGCATTCAAACAATCATCAGAAAAAAATAGTTCTGACATGCAGCCATAAAAACAATACAAAATATAAAGCCACCAATTTTCTACCAAAGCATTCCAAAATTCTCCAGAAACAGCAAAAATCTCCTCAAATGAAGTCCAACCCAGATGAAATCGAACCTCATCTAGAAACCAGATCCCAAGTGTATCACATATATTTGCCACTTGCCATATCAATTTGACATTTTTAACCAAAAAGACCGCAAAACACAAAAAATCCACTCATTATTCTAGACAATAATTAGCTAAGAAGCATTTGAAAGCAGGGAAAAAAAAACATACCGAATTTCGATGCAGAGTGAAGAGGGAGTCGGAGTTCCTTGATGCCAGACGAACTCTCGCAACGAGTCTTTGTGCCGAATATCTGAAAACGTGTGAGGAGCGATAGAAAAGCAAACTCAGTCGGCGAGTTTTCTTTAGAGCAACATTTCCAGAAGCAGAGATTTAGTTCGAGTTTGGATTGCAGCGACGTTCACACTTAATTGCGAATGGAAAAATGTTTTAGGGTTGAGTAGTCAAAGAATAGCCTAATACAACACAATTGAGGCTTTTCACAAAAATAACATAGGTTTGTGTTAGTTTCACTGTATACTTAATTATTATTGGGTCACAACACTTGTGTCATTGAAAGACAAAAACAGTTTTTGGAAATAATTGCAAATTCAAACGGAGCCTATGATATTTTGAAAACTTCAATGGAGGACGGAAGCGAGACTACGAGCTAATATCTCAGATTATCCCATTCTAGTACGCTAGTACTAGTGTACTGCTACTTTGTTGTTGTGCCAGGTTAGCATGCACCCTGCCCATCTTGGAGCCTTGGATGCTTCTCATGATCTCGAGTTTCGTGCTCGCTTTCCACTTTTCGGAAGCCTTTTTTCCTCTGCGTTGTTCTCCTCCAATGAATGCTCTCTCTCTGTCTCCATGTGAACTATGAAGACTAGACTTTCTCTAAAATCTCTTCAGCCATTCGACAAAGAAAAATCAGAATCTTCTTTCTCTGCTTTTATACCTTTTCATTTCTCTTTCGCCTTTTTATTTTAACGTTTTCAAATCCTTGACTAGTTAGTCATTTTACTTGTAGCACTTTGCTGCTGTTCTCCATACCTCTGACAACTTATCTGTCAGTACTCCCCGTTGTTTTCTTGTCTTCTATCAGGCCTGCAAAAATATATTAAAAAAAGTCACTTTTTTTTGGTTGATTTGTTGTTTCATTTTCAAGAAATACAGGGAATTTAGGACTCCCTTTGAACTGTTCTTTTATTTTCCAAGTAACTTTTTTTAAAGTAGAAATGGGAATGCAGGTTCATATATGCTGTGGATCTGGAGTGTAAAGGGATTTCAAGAAATAGGAGTTTCTGGGTTGGAGGCATTGCCACGATTTTTATTTTGTTAGCTAACTGACACCCTTTTTTAAGGTAACTTTGACAGCTTTATCTTTGGTTTGTGAGCTGACATAGTTTTACAGGGTACATGATGGAAAGAATACATGCAATCTGTTTTGTCTTCTTCCTGGTTGCAGAATCTTGATCATCTATCAAAGTGGTTTAGAAAGCTGTAAGTGTAGTTTAGGGGGAGTCTTCCATGACTTTAATTTGTTACAATTGATTTGAATTATCACTTCTTTTGGTGCTCTGAAATTCTTAGAAATTGAGGTAACAAAATGCACAAACAGCTTCGAAACATGTTTCCTGCAGCTTTATTTGGTTTGCAGATGACATGCTTCTAATCATTTCATTCTTCAATTGAAACTTGTTAAGGAGTTCAATATATAACATTGAGGCAAAACTGCATTGGCAAGGTTAATTCTGTAGAATGATTACGATTTTCAGCTTGATACTAAAAGTTTCCGCTTCATTTTCTCTGCAGATTCCTAAAAATTTTGACCAGCATTTGGTAATTTGGGGGCTTTATAGGGTAGTGGTTTGAGTTATAGCTGGGTAAACTTGGGCTTGTCAACGTTGAAGGAATGGGTTGTGTTGCATCAAGCATTGATAAAGAAGAAAGGGTGAGAATTTGCAAGGAGAGGAAGAGAATATTGAAACGGTTGTTGGTATTGAGAAAACAGTATGCTGATTCCCAATTAGAATATTTAAGGGCATTGAGAAATACTGGAGTGACCCTTCGCCAATTCACTGAGTCAGAGTCATTGGAAATTGAGGATGGTGCTTTGGGTCATGCACTGCCACCCTCACCTCCTCCCCCTTTGCCGCCTTCCCCTCCTCCCCCACCGTCTTTTAGCCCTGATTTGAGAAACTGTCATAACAATCACCACATGAAGACTTCTGAAGAGGAAATCATAGACATTGATGAGGACAATAGTCACACTCCACCACCTCCAGTTCTGAGTACGTCGTGGGAATACTGGGACCCTTTTGGTTCAACATCACCAAACTGCCAACAGAAGAGTAAGATAGAGGAGGAGCAAGTTGAGGAGGAGAACTGGGCAGAGGCGAATACTGAGTTTGAGGAAGAAGATCAGGTGGATGTAGTTGCTGTAAATAATACTGTTGATATTACTCCTGTCAAGAAACAAACTGCCAGTGTTGTTGATGAAAATTCTTCTGTGATGAGCTGGCACACCAAGGATACTGCAGACTTGTCCATGGTAATCTGGGGAAGAAAAAAGACTTTGAGTGGTATTATTAGGGATATAGATGATTATTTTGTGAAAGCATCGGCTGGTGGGAAGGATGTAGCTGTTTTCCTGGACTTCAATGTGGCTGACTCTCCTCTCTACCAGAGTATTAATGAAAACAAGAGTAATTCCTCTCCTTTAGTGACCATCATACATTCATTTGTTTTTGTCCCTTTGTACTGATACTAAATTTTCGAAGATTAAACTGTGTCAGAGTAATCCCTGTGGGTCTCCGCTGCTCATTGGTCTTGTGCTTGCAATTGCCTATCATCTAAGCAAATACAAACTCTGACATATAGTGTTTATTATGTCTTTTGGTACATATGCTTTGGAGCCTTTACTTGGCCTTCTGAAGTGAAATAAACTGGTATTGTTCGATTCGCTTTCTCTGAAACATAGCATCTATTGTACTTCTTTGACGCATTATGTACTCTCTCCTATATATTGCACTGTTGATGATTCACCTAATATAATGGACTTATTTTCGTCCTTTTTGCATCTTATTTTGAGAAGGAACTTTCGGGGACACTCAGAGTGCATCGTAAATCTTAAAAAAGTTCTCTAAGTAATACCAAATCTTAAATGCTTAAAAAATTGGTTGATTTCTTTCTGAAATTCTTTGAGAGTTAGTCCTTATTACTAGTGAATATAAAATTATAGACATACATCTCCCTTCTGAGCTTATATTATTTATCTCTAAATTTTTGGATGTTTTCCTTTTACAAGTGTGTATACACACACATGCATATATATATATATATATATGTATGTATGTAGTAGTTGTTTCTCTGTATTTTAATTTTCACATTAGGGGAAACTCTGGCAGAGGTTTTAGATGTAACATCATAATCCGGTCTTTATCTGGAAGAATTTTTTTTATCATTTGATTATGAAATTACATTGGAAATCAAAGCACCATTGGAAGTCTGGAAGAGTAACTAAAAATAAATTCAGAGACGATATAAAAGTGGTTGAAGATAGGCTGGTTGCCTCCTGTCACATCAGGACACTAGGTTATCCATCTTGATCTCTCTCAACATTTTCTTCATGGCGAAAATTGTTGCTGATCAGAGTTAAGTTCTTTATACACACTTAAAGTCACATCCCTGTAGTTAAGTCCTGATCTGACTATTCTTGTTAGACTTGTGATTGAGGTAGTTTCTTTCAATGTAGACTTCTTCTGAGTAATTGCTGCTTTATTATTTACAGGGAAGAGAAGCAACTCCGCAAAGGTCTTTAATGCATTGACATGGAGTTGGTCCTCAAAGTCACTTCAGTCTACTAGGGATGCTGGAGATACCTGCGGCCCTAGTGACCCCTGCAAGCCTGGAGCTCATTGTGTTACTCTTGCCAAACTTTATGATGCAGAACGGAAGCTCCACCGGGAAGTAAAGGTAATTCCTATGTTTTAATTAAACTGAATAGCATCTCTGCATCAACTACAAAAAACACTGATTCTTTGAGCTTTGTTTCATGGGTTCTACATGGAAATGCAAGTTTGTTTTCCTGTTAATCTTTTGTTTCCTTGTACTGATTTTCATTTTGGATTTTCCTCTGTTGACTGTTAAGTGGTGGGCGAAATGTTGCACTTTAACAGCTTGACAGTGATACTTGACGTTGCTATGAGCAGAATTAGCCATATTGTTTTGGAGGCTTGGTGATATTATCAGAATACTCACATGTGGCTTCTGGTACTTTTGTATGATATAGAGCCTAAGAAAATATTTGCATGTAATGCTTTTATTGTGAAAAAGAAAAATAATAAGGGCCACATATTTGTTTTCTCTATTTAGCTAAATGTGAATCTTGTGCTTTCCTATAGACTTTTCTTTTTAGTTTTGAAACTTGTCTGGAAGTATTTTTGCAATCTGTAATGCACTGACTGTCGAAGTTGCTCATTTAGTTTGAAGATTGTTATTTGGGTGAACATGGTTTATTACTTAAATGGCAGAATGTTATTGTTAGAATGCAACTTTACTCTGATACCTATTAACTACGTTGTTAAGGAATAAGCTGGAATTGTTATAAAGATTAAACATTGTACTTTGCTTTCTGTATGGACATTATTTTGCTATATACTTCTGTGCTTTTTGGGAAGGTCTTGGTGCTACCTTTTTCACACGAACATTGTAGGAAGAAGAGCTTACCAAGTTGGAACATGAAAGGAAATCATTAATGCTGCAAAAGCTAGAGGAAGAAGATCATGACTGGTCAAAGACAGACAAAGCTCGGTCAGTGGTTGAAAGTTTGCAGTCTGATATTTTATCTCTGCAACAATCAAATAGTTCGACTTGCTCAACCATATTAAATCTCATAGATGAGGAGCTGCATCCTCAGCTGATTGTATTAATTTCTGGGTAAAGCTCAAGCAACCAAGTGCTTTCTACTTTAGAGATTTTTGGTTTTATATAATCTTCCAGGAATCCAGACATTTCTAAACTCTAGGGTAAGATGGAAAATTATCTTCATTCCATGATTAATTGTGCCATACCTTGAAGTTGAGACTGCTTAAGTAAAGAATTCTTTCCCGTTTAGTGGTAGTGGAAAACATTTCCAGGATTGTGTTCTTAGTCAGATTTATATAGATTACTTAAATTCTTCAGAGAGCTGATAAGAGCATACCAGTTTCTTGGTAGAGAGGAATTCTTAAGCCATTGTTTGGGAGAAAGTAGGAAAAAAATTCTTTTGGAATACATTATTATATCTCAACGAAGTACTGGATCATCTTGCTTATTAAAACTGCTTCCCATTGTCGTGAGAACTATAATGCTCTAGGAATAATGTAGTCCTTGTCAAGGGAAACTTGCCTTCAAGTTGGGCAATGAGTGGAAGCTACGTTAGCAAGTCACATCAAAAGGCCATTTGCCCAACAGATTACTATTCATGTTCACTTATGATTGCTCATTCGAATCTTTCTAAATCTAATTTGCTTGAGATCTTTCTTTCTCTCAGGCTGATGTGCATGTGGCGAAGGATGTACGAGTGTCATCAAGTGCAGAACCATATCGCTCAGCAGCTGAATCATCTTGTGAATCAGCAGAATATGGAACCTACTAGTGAATACGATCGGCAGGCTGCAGCCCAGCTTAAAACTGAAGTTAATTCCTGGTATAACAGCTTGTGCAGACTTGTCAAATCTCAGAGAGAATATGTGAGTGCCCTCTGCAGGTGGGTTCAACTCACCAACTGCCTTGTGGACAATGGTCAGGGTAGTGTTAGCTCATCTGCAGTGTGTACACTTTCTAAGCAATGGCTCGTTGCACTTGACAAGCTACCGGATAAGGTTGCCTTTTATTTCTACTTTTGGTTCGGCTTAGAAAGTCATTTTACTTTTTTACCCTTTGCCCATCTTTCTTTTTCTTTCTTTATCACTTTGGTGTTGGTTGGAGGGGTCTTCATAATTCCTTCTGCCTAAATAGATGAGGGCTCAATGTAGTGTGATGATTTGATGCTGTGATTCTCTGTATGCAGTGCATCAATTAACTTTTTCTTGCAAGAAGTACAGAGAAAATATTTAGAATGCATGATTAGAATAATTGGATCTTCTTTTAATTCTTGTGAGGTATTTATACTTGAAAGTTCCTGCTGGAAAAAGGGCTTGAGACAAATTTATTGAAAACTTTCTATAATGTGTAAAAAAAAAAGAAAAAAAAAAAAGAAAATAGGCTGGAGGATGGAGGATGGTTCTAGGCTTGTATTATCCATTTTGCTTGACTTATAGGTTAACTTACCACATGCGAATGTAATTTTGTGATCACATTAGCATATTAAAAGATGCCTTTTTCTGGTCCATAGCCTTCATAACTGATTTCATTTGCTTTTGTGAGAAATACAGTTGAAATTGGGAGAAATTTGCTAGGCATAATATCCTTAAGTTTGTGGATGTCAATTTATCTGTGGATTAGCAGAGTAGGAAATTGGTAACATTGAGATTGACAGTGTTCAAGAAAATAGTGACAGCGATGTGTTGATTCTCTGGTAGAATTTTGCGATTGTCAACCTAAAGTAAAGCTGTGTTTTTTTTTTTGTGACAAATTTGTTTCCATTTGGTTATAAAGATTGGTGCTGTCACTTTGAATTATATGATAATTTCAACTTTTCCATGATTTTCATGATGATTGCCTTCTGCAATTATTTTTGGAAAGGAGACGGGAGTAACAATAATTTGTTTGGTTTATCAGCGTCTTCTGTTTTAATGATTTTTGCTTCCTAGTCCATTTAGCAAACAGATAATGCTTTCCATTGTACATGGTTTTGTCATCCTAAAAATATAGTCTTGGAGATTCAACATATTGAATTATCTTGTGGATGTTTTTAACACTAGATAAATGGACACTGGTTTTTTGATGCAGAGGGCTCTGGAGGCCATTAACAGCCTTTTGTCAGCTGTCCGCTCCATAGTTTTGCAACAGGAAGAAGAAGTGAACCTGTATAAGAGATCTGATAAGCTTGAGAGGAGGCTAGAACGTGAGCTGAACTTGCTATCTGAAATGGAGATGAAGTTTGAGGGTAGCTTCACTAATGAAGAGATGCAGACTGTTCTGGGCCCAAAGCATCCTTTGTCAGTCAAGCGAGCTAAAATTGAGGTATTGAAGAAACGTGTGGATGATGAGAAGTCTAAGTATATAAACTCTATTCAAAACACGCGAGCCATGATATTGAACAACTTACAAACAAGCCTTCCTAATGTGTTTCAAGCGTTAATGGCATTCTCAAATTCATACACTGAAAGCTTTGACACGGTGCTTAGCTATGGAAGACGAGCAGAAAATGATGAAGCGTTTCCAAATCCTGCATGTTAAAACTTAGTGAAATTGTAAAGTTCTTGGCAGTGTTTCAGATTGAGAGTGCTTCAGGATGGAAGAGTATTTATATGTAAATTCAGTTTCAAAGAAAGCTCTATGGGACTATAAACATGGAGAAATGCAACACAAGGAACATCGTCTCTGGTTATACAAGCTTTTGGTTGCGAAGCTCCAGAATTATTCATCAATTCCATGTAGAAACCAGTAGAGCAAAATGAACAGTTTTTTCTTAATGTAGACAAAATGTGGGTTCTTGATACAGAGCTCCTGAAGTTACCCCAAAACAAAAAAAGAAAGAAAGAGCAGAGCTCTTGATGGCTGGCTTCTAAAGCCAGATGGATGCTGGTGTTTGATCTCTATTCTCAACTATGACAAACACAGAGGTAGCAATTGCACACGGAAACTGCTTAGTAAGTGACTAAATGTTCAGTATTCACCAGAACTGTTTACCCTTTTCTTGACTACGCAATTTTGGCACCTCTTTTGTGCCAATCCCATCTCAATATGCAAATTCCAGAACTATGGTCTCTACATTTCAACTTGGTCCCAATTTTCAGATGCGGCTTCAAAAGCATTCTCAAAATGCTGAATTCCATTACGTGCCAACCTGCTCATTACAGCAAGTCCTAGACCAAAAAAAAAGAAAAAAACCACAAATAATTAGCAGTAGCATACATAATCAAGTTCTCTTTTGTTCTTTTTGAGATAGTATAAATAGATTGCTTTTCCTCTCCACCGAGAGGATATCATGTGCAGTATTAAAGACGACTGGATATTAGTAATTAACACAGATAGGAGAATCAGGCCTAAAGATTTGTAACCACAGATGTGCATGTGATGAATGGAATCATAAGGTCACTATTTTCTGCATGAAGATTATTCTGCTGTACAGAACATTTTTTGAGTAGCCAAAATCAAGAGGCAGAAAAATATTCGATGGTTGAAAAAGCAATCTATGACCTAGAAATGGTTAAAACATAATAATCCAACTAAGTAAGCTGCCATAACTAATGAGGTTGGCCTCTGAAGTTGAGACAAATTTAGCGTACTGAATAGTAAGTGAAGATTAGAATGTCTTGTAATGGAGGAAAAACTAAAAAGAAATACTTCTTCTGCAAGCATGTGCTTTCACAACACATCAAGGACATCAGTTTTTCCTCGTGCATAGCCCAAAATTTGTGGGTATGGACGGTTTGAGCTATCGAAGTAGAGGAGACAGGAAAATTGAGACATTACCTTCTATAACTCTGTAGAGGGCAGACCACCATCTATCTCTTGGAACTGCATAATTATTTAGTGTCTCTTCAATTTGTTCGTCATGCTTCCCTTCCAAGACTCCTTGCAGAGTTACAATTGCATCCCTAGTTTCATGTACAATGTTGTTTGACTCATCAAATTCTGCTACCTGGAGATCCTTCAAAGCAGAAACAAGATTAATAGCAACAGCATGTCTGGCTGCAGCTGTCCAGTGGGAAGTTACCAGCCAATTCCCCTGTCCGATAATGTGCATGGACTCTCTTTTCAATTTGTTCTCTTGTTCATCTCTCAGTACTAAGCTGCGTAAGTACTCGGCATTTGCAGCTCCAGTGCTTTGAACCATCTTTGAGAAAGCACTTCCTTCACTGAGAAGCAGCTTCTCAGGTGCATCATATTCCACTACCTGCAAATGGATTCTTTAAGTCCCTCGTGGCAACTACAGAAAGTATGCACTCTTGACTGAAGTTGGTTGTATTTAAACCATACAAAATCAGTTGGAATATATCTGATCCTTGGTATACCTGACCAGCATCAAGCACCAGGATCCCGTCACTGTCAATGATAGTATTTAGCCTGTGAGCAATAATGAGCATTGTGCATGACTTAAATTCTTCTCGAATAGTTTTCTGGATTATTGCATCAGTTCTAACATCAACAGCTGCAGTTGCTTCATCAAGGACGAGAATCTTTGATCTCCGAAGTAGTGATCGAGCAAGACTGAGTAACTGCCTCTGTCCAACACTGAAGTTCTCACCTCCTTCTGAAACCTAAATTCAATCCCAATACATTTAAGTTTCCATTTAACTTGCATGCAGCATGAACGATGTAAAAGAATTTGGAAGTCTGCATACACAATGTGTTATCTATTGGCTCCCTTGCATGCAAATTATCTGAAAATCTTGTTGAGGTATCAATGTGAAACAAAAGCTGATTTTTTTTTCCCTGGAAAACTATTTGGTTAGATTCTACCTGTTAAAGAAAAAATTCCAGCATACTTTAAAGGACATTGAACTCATTTCCTTTTCTTTTTCCCTCTCTCTCTCTCTCTCTCTCTCTCTCCCCCTCTCCGTCTCTCCTGTCAGGAAGTTGAATCATTAGAGTATTGGTTATTCTACTGCAGGAGTATCCAAGAATCTGGATCTCTCAACTGCAGGTACAGATAAAATTTAAGCAGCAGTTCAATTCTGGGGACTAGTGAAAACAGATCTTTAGCTTCTGAATCAAATTGTTTAAAGAAGTACTGAATTCACTATGAACATGTTATGGCATACATGGGCAAATAAGGAACAAATGGTACTTCTGTGACAAAGTATAAGTTGAAAGCATAAGAGGGCGCCAATGGAAGATGCAGTCATTGAAGTTGAAGCGAAATTAGTGATCAACTACATCAACCATAGAGCTTGTACTGATCAAAAACTGGATACTAAACCAATGATTGAAGAAAGGAAGACGAGGACCATTACCATTCTGTTTATTAAGGCATGGGAAGACCAAAATAGTTATTATCTCCAGTAACATGTATGATATTGGAATAACAGTATTCAATGTGTACCTCGGCATCCAGACCAAACGCACTTTTCCGAATGACATCCTTTAGGTGTGCTCGCTCTAATGCCTCCCAGAGATCAAGATCACTGTGTTCATTGAAGGGATCAAGATTAAATCGCACAGTTCCTGGACAAACAGTGAACCGTGATTCAAAATCTTCAAAAACTTGACTGAAATTAATAGTCTAAAGAATACTTGAATGCAAAAGTGGAATCTAAGTCCAAAGATTTTAGATTTACTAAAACTGAAGAAAGAGCTAAACATAACTTCACTGTCAAGGTTTTACTTATATATGTTCTCATATGCATGCATGCATTTTAGCCAAACTTCATTGCAGCAGTGTGCCAAAGTTAATGCAATGTTTTTTGAGTGAGAACTCAGCACCAGGCATTTAAGAGAATCCTCAAAGAAGGGAATCTTTGAAGAAGGCATATGCAAATAAAACTGAGTATGAGACAGACCTCATATGACATGTATACATCTATGTGGAAAATCAGTTTCTCATATTTATATGTTGAAGTAAGAAGAATATCAGGTTTAATAGGCTTGGCCTAATCAAGGCATCATTTGAAATCAAAATGGCTGTTTTTTGAAACCCCACTAACCTAAAGCAACATTCATCGACACAAGCAGGGCAAGAGTATTCAGTTGTGCTTGGCTGCATAGACTGCAGTTATACATGTGTACTTTACTACCATAAGCAGAGATATGCAGAATCTTATTTTCTTATGATGCATAAACATGTTCTTGGGAAGGAAAGGTATGATCAAGAATAAAATAATGAGAACACATTATGAAAATCTCTGCATAGCTCTCACCCCAATCTAACATACTAATACCAACAATCCACATCCCAGTCCCCAGTCAACAAGAATAAATGAACAATCACAATCCTTCTTTTTACCAGAGCTTCAAAAAAATATAACCTTTTATTTACAGAGAGAACTTCAATTGCGAAGACTATTGAATTAACTAAAATCATTTGACAGAATAGAAGAAACACAAGATCTCCAAAGAAAGCAAGAGACTAGGTAACTTAGTAGGTTTTACCAGAGAAAAGAACTGGTGATTGTGGTATAATGCTAAGAACTCTACGTAGGTCGGTCAATCCAAACTTTGAAATGTCACAACCATCAATCAAGATTCTCCCTCTTTCAAGTTCTACAATCCGGAATAAAGCATTGAGCATGCTGGATTTTCCTGCACCAGTTCTTCCAACTATGCCGACCTTCTGAGTTGGGGAGATTGTGAAAGACAAGCCACGTAGGACAGCAGGGAGCCCAGGCCTGTAGCGGAGGACAACATCTTCAAATTTGATTAGTCCTGCTGAAGGCCATCCAGGTGGTGGCCGATTGCTTTCGATAATATCCGGAGCCTCAGCTGGTAAATCAATATATGTTCCCACACGCTCAACAGCATTCAAACTATTTTCAGCCCTACTTGCTTGTCTTAAAACAGTACCCAACAAATTTGTAATGTTTAAAGAATAACTAAGCAGCAGACCCATTGTAGATGCAAATGCAACCTGGTTTTCTGCTCTTCCATTCTGCAATACTGCAAAGGTTGCTGTCAACCAGATCATAATACCTCCAAGGCTTTCCAGCCTTATGGTGAGCCAGCGATTGGAACTTATATTCACAAGAGTGAACCTGAGATTATTGTCCATAGTTTTTCCATTGATGTTTGCCAACCGGTCATATGCTTTATATGCACGAATGGTTGATAAACCATTTAAAGCTTCTCCAAACTGTGCATACACAGGAGACCTGGTAATGGAATCTAGACGTTTCACTTCCCGAGACGTACTCTGTGGGACATCAGACATCATTTGTAAAGGTTCTAAAAACATAGTACTGGGAGAAGGTAATAGCAGAAAATAGTAGAGATAGAAGGTGATACATGTTTTTGAGAGAAGAATGACATAACTACTTGCCAGATTGTGGACATGTGGATTGGTTTTGCACATTTGCAAAATCATAGATACCATAAAACAAAAGTGAAATTACTAATTTTATGAGGACTTTAGTTCTGAACATAGTCCTCATGTGCAAATGCAATAAAAGTGGTGCAGACAATTATAAGACTAAAATGGACAATAAAATTGATAAAAATGGATGAATAACCAGATTCAAAATGCAATGAATCACAGCAGTGTAGTCAAATTCTATTATCTGTGCCGATGCAGTTGGACAGGAGTGACAAAGTATACAAAATTAAACTTATATGAAGGAACACATTTCTATCATGAATTCAGGTTGTAAAGCCTTTCTTAAGGAGACACGGAAATACTTGTCAATTTTTATCACCAAAGAATACAACTGAACATGTCCTTTTGTTTCCTAAGATATTATCGGCCAGATAGTTGTAGGGATCAAGCAATTATGTCTTTTATCTGGTTCAGAAATGGCAATGGGACACCATATAATACAAAGATCTGGTTTCAGCCTCAATG